ACAGCCCTGGGTGTCCCAGGGCGTCTCTGGGCAGGCTGCGGCCCTGGGAGCGGCAGAAGGGGTGAGCTCGTGCAGGCCGAGAGCCCTGCGCTTGGTTCAGTGCGGGGTCTGTACCAGCCAGGGCGGGCGGGCCAGTCTGCTGCCACTTCCCTTGCAGCAGTGCCCAGGAAGGGGAGCCAGGAGGCAGGCAGGCTCCGATGTTCCTCTGGGCAGCTGCCCTTGGGGCTGAGCCTGGGACAGCACCATGGACCCAGGAGCTCCCCCGCCCCAGGGCCGGGCCAGGGCTCCAGCTCTTCGTCCTATATAAGAGCATCAGACCGGGTCAGACCAACGGCCCATCCAGCCCGGGGTCCTGTCGCCCACAGGGGCCAAAGCCGGGGGCCCCAGAGGGAGGGAACCGAACAGGGAATCCTCACGTGATCCCTCCCCTGTCGCCCATTGCCAGACAAACAGAGGCCAGGGACCCCAGCCCTACCCAGCCTGGCTCACAGCCACTGACGGACCTGCCCTCCAGGAATCTAGCTAAGACTTTTTGAGCCCTGTTAGAGTTCTAGCCTTCTCCACATCCTCCGGCGAGGAGTTCCACAGGTCGACTGTGCGCTGAGTGAAGAAAAACTTCCTTTGGTTTGTTTTAAACCTGCTGCCTGTTCATTTCATTGGGTGACCCCTAGTTCTTATCTTGTGGGAAGAAGTAAAGAACTTTTCCTTGATCACTTTTTCCAGAGCAGTCATAACTGTACAGACCTCTCTCCTAGCGCCCCTCAGCCTCCTCTTTCCTAAGCTGAGCTGTCCCGTCTCTTCATTCTCTCCTCCTCTTCAGCTTCCCCCGGGGGCGTCTCTTCCGCGTTACACCTCAGCCCCGTGGGCCAGCGAGTGCTCGGGCCGGCCAGGCATCTGCCCTCGTGGCACAGCGTGGGTTGCTTTGCGTGGCCGGGGGGGCAATGCCCAGGCAGGTGGCATCCTCGGGGGAGGGGAAATAGGCCATTCATTTCTCCTCGGACCCCACCCTGCTCCCTCCCACCTTTGCCCAGGGCTCCTGGCCGGTCCCTCTGCCAGCGGCAAAGCTCAAACTCCTTTGCTGGC